AGAGTTTTTAAAAACCAACTGCTTTTTTTGTTGTAGAATAAAACTTGTTTGTAAAATGGTGCATATTAACGTCTTACCTGACGAATTATTGATGATCATACTGGAACACCTAAAGCCTGATGATATACGATCTGCTCGTAATGTGAGTAATCGTCTTAATAGTATTATGGATGACTATCGTCTACGAATTAATATGGTAGATCTAACTGAACAATCGTCCACTAATAATGTGAAAAATTGTATAACAAAAGTTTTGCCATTAATAAAACATCAATTACGACGTTTGAAATTGTCCAATAAAGTTAAAGTCGATTTACAAGATTCTATCAGTATCTTTAACGCAAATGTCGACTTGGGAGAATTTTGTCGTCTATTGTCATTGTGTCTGATTGATGTTAGTAGCTGGCAATTGATTAACATCACGCCACATCTGCCACGATTGGAAATGCTCACATCTATTTCAATAGACACGGACGAGATGCATCATCCGCAAGTTGCAATTGATGCTAGTGCAGTAATTCTGGCGCTTCCGGGTTTAGATACAGCAGTTTTGAACTTTCATTTATCGATGTCGCCACCACCAGTACCAGATGCATTGTCTAATGTACGGAACTTGACTCTTGGGTATTGCAAAACTTCTGAATTAGCTGAACTGATTCGTACTTCACCCAAGCTTATTAAATTGTATATTCGAATGCATCATTGGCTCGTCGAATTGAATTTCCGAAACACAGACAAAATTACTAAAAGGTGTATAACGACTGTTTAACAGCTTGTTAAAAAGTGCGCATTGTCTTTGTTTTTTTTGTTTATTTGTTTCTTCTTTCTATTGTAAATTCACTATTATAAATAGTTGTACAGTGTATACTTTGCATATATTTGTTCTTTTTTCAATAAAAATACACCATTATCTTGCGTACATTAAAAGAGCACATTCTGAAGATTATGTCTTGTGATTGCATGTAATTCTAACCTTGGTTTTTGTAAATTTTAGCTATAATTATACTTAATAATAGTTTCAGACAAAAGTCTACGAAGTTTTCTACTAGTTCAATATAGACACCTATCACACATGTCTGATGTCGCTGTTACGTCGTTTGGGTACAGTGCTCCTTTACTTGGTTTATGTGAACTGAAGTGCTGCTATATTCCACTGATACAGATTGATTTTGCAAAATACGATGTCCAATTTCCATTAGCTTCTCAACATTATTCGACAATAGAATCAATAGATCACTCGAACATTATTGAAGGTAACTGCTAGTCCTGAATAAGCATTTGTCTTGCTACCGAAACTCTGCATGTTTTTAGACACAGAAGAAAAGGCTGAGGCTGTTGTACCGCCGGTCTGTATCCTACCACGAATTTTTCCTAATCGTAGACGAAGATATCGACGACACATCCGCAGATTAGTTCGTTTAGTGAGTATCCACAAACATACGGACACCTGCTATAAGTACATGAAAAATGGTAAAAGAATGTGTCGTATGCGACTTCTACGAAAATTAATCCCTCAATCATGTATCAACATTGACACAGGTGAGGTCCAAACGAAAAGAAATCACGAAATGGTGAATAATTTCCATGATGTGTTGATAGCAGAATGTCGATCTAATATGGATATTAAATTTATATGATCTAGTCTGGACGCAAAAGCACTTGTGTACTATTGCACTGATTACATTACGAAAACAGGCATGACATACCATGATACTGTGTCTTTGGTATACAAAGCGTATACTAAGATTGAAAAACACCCAATTATTTGC